GGTGGATCCTTCTACCCATTTCTTGCAAAGTTTGTGAGCACTGAGGTTGGGGGATAGTGTTAAATGGGATCTTTCATTCTTTCATTGGCTCAATATTTGCTTACTACCTAGTTTGTGTTGGGGGCCATGGAAATTCAGAGGTAAAGACATGGTTTCTGCCCTAATAGAGCTCATGCCCTGGTGAGAAGAGCGAGGTAGAGGTAGAGATTGATCCCAAATTACTCAAGTGATCCCAACAATGGCCATGTCTAAAGCTGTGATCAAGGTTAGAGGAAGAGCTGAATTTGGTCTGCGTAGTCCGGGGAGGCTGCCTGGAGGAGGAAGAGCCTGAGCCAAGTCCTAAGGAGGCGAAGATATGAACCAGATAAAGGCTTTCCCGGAAGAGGGGATAGTACAAATAAAGGACAAGCACTAGCACGGTGTGTGGCTGTGTGCTGTGAGCAGTGGTATGCTGGTAAATACTTAACAACGGGCTGTCCCCACCCCCCAGAAAGACAACTCTGCCTGATTTGTAGCAGTCTCCAATTTCCATGGTATAAATACCCTCACCACAGCCAATTTCAAGCTACCAGCGCGACATCACTGAACACGAATTTGAGAAGAGATGTGCACACTTGTTTCTCAAGAGCCAGTAGGAGTGGGCTGGGCTGAGCCATTGGCTTTGGGGATTCAAGCAGGGGGTCAGTAATTAATTCAGTATTACTGCAGATAAGATTCAGGGCAGCTAAGGGAATAACAACTCAAGTCTGCTTTGGCTGATGACTTGTGGCTTTTCTCTGAGTATCCTTTAGTATTCCTTAATTCGCTTACTCGGCCCCACACACATTTTCTTAGCACTTACTATGTGCCAGGTACTGAGCTAGTTCGAGGTGTACAGAGATCCCAATGCATGAAAAGCCGGGATGCGTGGATGATAGCAACAATCCTTTGTAGGCTTCGGCTGTGGTGATGCCCAGAGTGGGGCTAGTGGTCATCAGTAAGACCACCATAAGCGCACCTTTGCCTCTTCCGCGCCCCGCGCCTCCCCCCCCCCACCGCCCCGAGCTCCCATCTTTGGGAAAATCTGACTCAGAAAGTCTGACCTAAGGCCTGGTGGGCATTCTGAGCTTCGAAAGCCCAGGTAACTGATTACACGTTGGGTGCTAACTCAGGTCACAGAGGAGAATTTGGCCCCAAGGTTGCCTTCCCCTTCCTGGTGCCCCTACCCCCCCTCCCCGTTTAGGACACACAGGAATCTGGTCCACACCGAGATGGACCCTCTCACTTCTGGTTGACTGTTCATTTCCTGTAATTGTTGAGCAAATGACTCCAGAATACACAAAAATCCTCTCGTTACCCCCGCATTCCATTCCATTCCATAAGGACTGTTCGTTTCAATTAGCCGTCAGAGGCCCGAAGCAGGGGTGCAAGGCCCTGCTCCGATCAATCCCCACCTTTGTTGGAAATTGGATTTAAGGCAGCTGGGGCGGGGGGAGGGGGTGGAGTGGGGGGATAAATATTTTATCATTTCTTCCTCCCCGATGTTCTGCCAGTTCTCATTTCCACGTTTCTCCCCCTGCACGCCGGCAGATTGCAGACTGTAAATTTGAGGGGAAATGGTAAACGCACAAGCATGATAAACAAACATGTTGCTTTTGCGAGGACAGATATTATCATCTGGATTTGTAGCTTTCCTCGCCTGCACGTTTTATTGCATTTTGGGAAAAGCCGAGCGAGGTTTCCGTGTTACATTGATCAACTTTCTGCCCTTCGCCCGTCACCCCCCTGCCATCCCCCACTGAGTCACTGAAATATCAACCTGGACCGGGGACACAATTTCTCTCCCAGGAAGGGAATGCATCTTGACAGGTGTTTTCTTTGGGGACTGTTATTTATAACTGCAACAGCGATCGTGCTGCTGGGCACTGTGGTCTACTCCCTCCCCTTCCTCAATTCTCAAAAATGGAACATATTTTTGTTTTCCTGGTGGGGAAAAAGTGGCAAATCAGTGATTTAAATCTCTTCTCTGTTCCTCTGTCTCTCTGCCTGTGTCTCTCTCTCTGCCTCTCCATAGTCTACCCTCTCCGTCTTCCACCTTCTGGTGGACGGGCTCTGGATCGTGCCCAGGTTCGAATCCAAGTGTTGCCACCAATTTCTGTGTCATGTGAGCAAATTACTGACCTTCTCTTGCAGGGAGAATTGCAGGAGGTATTTCTGTGCCTGTCTCCACCTTCCCTCTCCCGGTCTCAGCCCAACTAGATGGTGAAGGCTTGGGGCCAGGGAGCTGTATCAGCTTGCCATCTTTTTCTCCCACCCTCACCCTCAGGCCCCACGTTCTCCATCTGTCATGGGACCTCCACCCGGGAGCTGCCTGGGCACAACCTTGGTGGCCCCGCTCACCACATCCAGCCTGTCCCCCGGTCCTGTGGATTCCTCTGCATGCCTCTCTGTGCTTCCCCCACCCCTCCTATGTTGGAATGTCCCCGGAGTGCCAGGCACTGACCACTGTCCCCTCCCAGGGTCCCGACAGTGGTGTCTTTCCGGGGACTCCTGGCCTGGCGCCCCCTTCCCCCTCTCAGTACTTACTGTAACAGCTAAGGGACGGGGCAGTGGAGCCCGTCCTGCAGTTCTGTTGCTAAGGAAACCACTTCCTTGGTTACCGGCCTGGGTAGCATTTGTCTGTGTCTGCCTCCTGCAGAGTCGCCCCCACTCTCCGGGAAGATGATGAGGAGGAGGAGACAGGAGAGGACAACCGGGCTGGGGGGCGAGCAAGAGACAGGGAGACAGAGATCAAGAGATGAAGAGGTGCTGGCACAGAGCAGAAATCAAGGAAGAGATAAGGATGGGGGCGTTGAGAACAAGACAGAAGAGGTTTAATGAGCAACTGGAAGAAATAAAAGCAGAAAGAGGGAAATGGAGCCCAGGAGGCATGTGGAGAAAAATGGAGAGAAACCAATGAGAGAGAGAAGGGGTCTGGGCCTCTGGGAGGAGCTGGGTCCTTGTGGGACATGCTCCCCGTATTCCCTCTGCGCCCCCCCACCCCTGCATCCCCTCTGCGCCACCCCCGCATCCACTCTGCGCACGCCCCCCTGCACCGGGCAACCCCTGGAATCCCCCGGCTCTCTCCCCTCCACAGATGCGAGGGTGCTGTCTGTGTGTGTGTGTGCATGGAAGCACTTTCTGGAGAAGGCCCGGTTCTGCTGTGACCTCTGTGGGGCTTGGGCCAGTTCCGGCCAGTCTCAGGCACTGGTGTGCGTTGCTCCCATGCGTTAGGGATCGTCAGTAACCCCCGGGATTTGGCCGGGACCCACCTAGGTAGGGCCTTTGCCTTCTTGCCCCGCCATCCCATCCTCAAAAGCTTTCTGCCACTTACAGGTATCTGGTCGGTACTTGGTAAAACGTAAGCTGTGCAGGAACGGGGATTTTTGTTTGTTCTGTTCCTCTTTAAGTCTCTAGAAGCTAGAGCAGGGCCAGGCACACAGTGGATGCCCAGTAAATATTTGTGGAAGGAATGAGCCCTTGGGCCCTTCTGGGTCTGAAGTACAGATTTGTATTGAGAGGGTTGCTGAAGTTGCGGTGAAGACAGGCAGAGACTGGCTAGAGAAGAAGCTGCTAAACTGTCCATCTCGCCACCCCCCTGCCCTGCAGTGCTCTGTGGTGGGGAGGAGGACACGGTACAGGATCTGTGAGATCTGGGGAGGAGCGTCCAGCAAAGCGTGGGTCTGGATGACCCCTGGCTTCCCTCCCTTCTGGTCAGGGAGGGAGAGATCGTAGAAAAGGTCAAAGAAATTGGCACAGGGCTTCAGGGCTCAATTTGGGACCAGAGTCAAGGCTCGATCTGAGGTTGGATGAGGGCCCAGAGGGACCAAGGGAAAGACTCCTCCAGGGCCAGGACTGAGGCTCAGTCTCCAACCAGAATCAGAGTTGTGGCAGATTCAGGCTCAGTCCAGACACACACCAGCACTGGTTTGGGGGCAGGTCAGGATTTAGCCTATGACCTCGTTTGGAGTGTCACCAATGACCTGGGTCGGGACTCAGTATGGGTAGGGCCAAGGTTCGACATGGGGCTGGAATTGGGCATCAGTATGAGACAGGATCATGGATCAGTAGGTGTTCAGAACTAGGGCTCAGCTGTCCAACAAGATCAAGACTGTAGGATTGGGACTCAGTCTGTGACCAGGTCAGACTGGGTTGGAGCATTCAGCCTGGGGCTGGTGAGTCCTCAGAGAATTTCTGAAGCCAACACCAAGCCTCAGAAGAGAAAGACCCTGCCCTTGGTCCTGGAGCTACCTCACACTCTTCTCCCCCCTGCCCTTTCTGAGCTCTTCTCCCCCCTGCCCTTTCTGAGCTCTTCCCTCCCCCTTCCTACTTCAGAGAACCCAGGGCTGGGGCCAGGTAGGCTGCCTCCCCCACTCCTCCAGAGCTCTCCCTACTGCTGGGGAGAAGTCTCTGCCTCCCCCAGCTCTGCTTACCACCTCCCTCCCCGGTTCTGTCCACAAGGCAGTATATAAACCCTCGTTCCTCCCAGAAGCCTTTGCTTCTTCTCCCTTGTGCCTTCACTGGTTTTTCTCTGCACACACAAGTGCACAGCACCGCACACTCGCTCACACAGAGGACACCCCTCCTAGATCCCCTCTTCCATACCTACGCACCCCCCCCGCACACACGCACACTTACCGAGGACAAAGGGCGGAGGCAGGAAACACCCCTCCACAACAGGCCCCTTCTCTGGCCCGGGGCTCCCACACTCTGGCCCGTGCCCCCTTTACACGCGCTCAAGTCCACACACGGGAGCCTGCACTCACAGCTTAGAAATGGGGCGGTCACTGCGTCAACATGGGGGACAGTCTCGAGACCCAGAAGGGCAGGTGACCACAATTTTACACACACACACACAACCCCCCCCCCTTACTTCCCAGGCACAGAAGCAACCACCAGCCCCAGAACAATTGCCTTACACACACCAAAAAAAGAGAAAAGCCCATTTGTGAACTCGCCTTATACAACACTCTACCCTGTGGTAGAATAATCAACAAAACTCGCTTTTAATGATGTTGACCTGAGGAATCTTCAGACAGAGGCTTGTGGCCCGAGGTGACCACCCGCAGAATGGGCCCAGGTCTTGGACCCGGGGTCTCCCAGAGAGCACGGACATCCACGTGGGAGGGGAGGCCACACCCTCTACTGCTTCTTGAAAGACTAGAAATTAGCTGGGGGAAAGAAACATGGTACAAAATACATTCAGGGCCCCCTGGCTGGGCCCTGGGGGGGGGCGCCAAATCCCACAGATGAGGGGATCAGGGAGGAGAACCACAGGCCCAATCCCTAAGCCCTTCTTCTCTTTGTGTGGCCAGGTGCCAAGGGGCAGAATGTATTCGTTATATTCCTCTTAAAAAAATAGATCTCTTTACACTCGCCTTCTCCAGTCTCTCGGGTATTTGGGAACAAGCATTTACCTGCACCCTGAGCCTTCAGAGGGGCTGACTGGGGGGCTGCTCCAGACAGAATAGCAAAGATCTGGGACCTATGGCTTTTGCATCTACGTGGTAGGGGAAGGCGCAGGTGTGGGCTGGAGTTGAAACCGCTGGTATCCGAGGTGATGCAGGGGGGAAAGATGGGATCCTGAATTAGGGCTTTCTAAGACCGATGACTAGCAACCCAGGTCCTTGAGAATCCTTTGGTTTGATGTCTTACCACCAAGGGAAGAGTGTTTCTATGGAAATGGAAGAGCCATCCTCTTCCTTAAAGAACCATCTCCAGGAAGCTGGCCCCATGGGACTATGACCAAGGGGAAGTCTGGGAAGGTAGTGGGGGTCTCTGTGGGTCAAGGTCCCACCTGATTTTGGAGCACTCCTGGCTCTCTAACCTGGATAGTAAAGGACCCCCTGGTAAGGGTCAGAGGGCAGTGTAGGATCAGTGGGCCCCACCATGGAGAGATGCCCCTGGGGCCGTCAGTCTTACTCAAGGTTCTGCATGTGGTGTGTGGCCATCCTGGGGTTAACTGCTGGCGCCTGAGGAACCCAGGAAGCAGGATCAAAGATGCCAAGGTCCCCTCCTGGCTACAGCGGGGGGGGGGGAAGAAAAGGGCAGCATTCTGGCCCTTGAGGCGGTCCGGCAACCAAATTGTTTCTCAGGAGCTGGGGCCCACGTTGGGGGACCCGTTCACCTCCTGGGAGCACCACTGGCTCCGTAGCCCACCGGGCATGTCAGAGACCCTTCTTCCAGCGGTAGGGGCCTGGGTCCATGTTGGTGCCCCTGCTTCCCCGGGGGTGGAGGAGAAAAGGGGAGGCCGTGAGTGCTCAGCCCAGAAGGGAAGAGCATCCGGGACCACTTTCTCCTGCAACAGTCCCTTTAGCGCTCGAATCAAGATCCTTGTCTTCTGCAATGGGGCACCCATGTCTCGGGGACACCGTGAGCCCTCCCTCCCACAGGTGGGACCCCCAAGGGGGTGGGGTCAGGGGCACGGGAGACAGGAAAGGGTCCATGTGGCTGGAGCGCCCCCAAACCGGCGGCCCCCTCCACCTCCAAGGGTGGGACTGGGAGTAGGGTGGGGAGTGCCCAGACGGTCTCTTGCCTTGAGCTTCCTTCGTCATGCAGGAAACTCACTGAGGGCCACCAGCAGCCATAGGGATTGTCCCCAAACCAGAGAGGACAGGCGGGTGGGGGGTCCCCAGGGCGTCTCGAGACCCCCCGGCTGGGTGGGGACTCCCGGCCCCCCCCCCCACCCGACGCATCATCTGGGGTAGTAGTCATTGGGGACGCCTGTGAGGTTCCTCCCCTTGAGGGCCGCGTCCACCATCTTGATGTAGGCAGAGATGACCTTGTGCATGTCGGCCGTGTAGGGGTCGTACTCGAGCTTGCGCAGCCCCGAGCGCTTGAAGTTGCCGTCCTTCTGGCCCTCCACGCACAGCAGCCGGTCCTCCCTGACGGCCACGCCCAGCAGGCTGACCATGCGGCCCAGCTGGACGAAGAGCTCCTGCTTCAGGTCCTCAAAGTGCACCACCAGCACCTTCTTGCCGAACTTGAGCCAGTCCAGCGTGTGAGTGGCCCACCACGGGGCGTAGTTCCTCACGAACTCCGGCCACTCTGGGGGAGAAGAGGCAGGGCCCAGTCAGAGGAGGGGCTCAAAGGATCAGGGTCAGACGGCGGTGGCCGTGAACAAGTTAGTTACAGCAACACCCTTCGCTCCTTCCCATCCCAGACTGGCCTGGTCCCTCCCACCTCCATGCTGTAGCTTGCGGCCTGGAACGTTCTCAGCCTTTCCTTCTCTTTGGGGAGAACAGTAACCCCTGCTGGGTGCTTACCGCAGGCCCGGCCCAGCCTTCTCCATAAATGCGTGTTACTCTGTTTTTATATACATTTGTATTAGTATCACTAGTATAACTAGTAAATGCCTCACGACAACCCTGTGAGACAGGTTATCAGCCTTTTCTTCGTTTAATAGAGAAGTGAGGCACAGAGAGGTCAAGTAACTTGCTCAAGGTCACACAGCTACTAATTGGCAGAGCCAGGATTTGAAACCAAACAGCCTGGTTTCAAAGTCTGGGCTTTTAACTATCAAGTTATCCTGTGTAGTCCTAGCTATCCTGTTTAGTAATGGTATCTACTCTCAGGGTGCTAATAGGACCTTTGTATAGAGAAGTGGATAAAAGCATACGAGGTGTGGATGGGGGGAATGAGGTCACTGAGTGAAGGGCATTAAGGAGGGCACTTGATGTAATGAGTACTGGGTGTTATATGCAACTGATGACTCCCTAAATTCTACCCTGAAATTAATAATACACTATGTGGTAACTAACTTGCATTTAAATAAAATCAAAAATAAAAAGGACTTGCCCAGAAACAAACAAAGCATATGAGGGTTTTAGCATGGCGCCCCGTACCCAGTAGGTGCTCAGTAAATGTTGCCTATTACTCTTCCCGCCATTATTCTGTTCTGAGATGGGACATCGTCTTCCTGGACTCCCCAGGCTCAGGCGGGTGCAGTCTCTGGGCTTCACTGCCCCCTCCACACCCCCCACATATGTTGTCGGTCTCCCCAGTAGACTGGGCTGGGATATAGTTTAAGTCGGATTATCTATACTGTTATCCTTGCCTTACTGTTCTACTTTTTATTACGGTTTGGGTTGTTTTTTTTTTTTTTTTTTTTTTTTGCAGTTTATTACCTTGCTGTGGTAATCTGGCAGGGGGGACGCCACCAGCCTGGGGAAGGTGTGTTAGGATGGTCTGACTTGAAGGCAGGCTACAACAGAATGTGGGTGATTGCTTGGGGAGCCCCAGAAAGAACCTCAAAGAGCCACCAGCCAGCCCTGGAGCTGCTGAAAGGGGCAGAATGAGAAGCCAGGTAATTGCGGGGGTGGGGGGTGTCACGGAGGACGTCGGGAAGGGAGAAAGGGATCCTGAGCCCCACTGGACAGTCACAGGGCAGGTGCTCCGAAACCCTGAAGCCAGACCCACTGCTTCTCAGTGGCAACACCACCCTGCACCCTCCAGAGGGATCTGCTTATTGAACGAGGGTCTGAGTCTCCCAAGCAAGGCTGGGGGAGCCCAGTTTGTTCTTAGTAACTCAATCCTCCTCCTTTGCTGGGTGATGGGTACCTACGATCTCATTTAATCCTAAAGACTACCCTGAAAGGAAAGGGCTACTGTTGACTTGTATCACCAGTGAGGAAATGGGAGGCTCAGAGAGGGGAAGTGACTGGCCCAAGGGCACACAGCCAGGCAGCACCATCCAGACCAGGCCTGTCTGAGGCCAGGTCCCGATCTTTCCCAGGCACCAGCAGCCTCAGCCCCACTTCCCCCCCCTGCCGTACCCCCAGCAGGGGCTCAATAAATGGCTGTTGAACTAAATTGGAATTCCCCACCGCCCAACTGTGACATGATAAAGGGTTCCTATTTCTTTGCAAAACACATCAGACCCTGTGGTGAGGCTCCTTCTCCCCCCGCACCCCTCTGGAACACCACTGCTGCTAGGGAAACACGGACGCTGGGGACAAGGATATCTTTACGATAGTTGATTTACAAGGTATCTGGCTAATTGGGCCCACACTGTTGTAATGGGTTAAGACCAGATGTATCTGAGTGATTAGAAAAACATAGAGCATGTACATAATCTGTTGTAATTTTCTTTTTTTTTTTTTTAGCATCTGCCCCCTCCTGAGTCCCCTGCTGCATCCCTGCTGGTTGAGCACTCTTACGGCAGAGGCCCAGGTGGATGAAGGCGGGACTCTGTCGCCCAGGAGCACGCAGGTCGGATTTCTAGGCTTGGCCACTTTTGACCAACCATCTCAAGTATTTGCTGGAGGGGGGCTGCACAGTGGTCCTCAAGGAAGAGGGAGGACCTGTCTGCATAGTGGTTGGGGTCCTGCAGAGGGTGGCCCCAGCCTTGGGTGCAGATGGGCTGGAGATGGCACGGCCCCCTTGCTGATGGCAGATCGCCCTGGGATGGGAGCCTATGGGGCCTGAGCACCTGCTGTGCGTCCGTCACTTTACGTTTTCTGCTCCCAAGAAGCCTGGAGAGTGGGGATTACTAGCCCCATTTTATACACGGGGAGGTTCCGGGGGGAGGGAAGGAGGCTGCTCCAGGCCATACCTTGCTTGCCCGAGACAGGATTCGAACCCTGTCTATCCAGACTGAGCCTGGCTCCCGCCCTCCTACAAGCCCTTCCAGAGCTCCTGTTCGGATCAGCTCCTTCAGGTGTCATCTAAGACTCGGGGTCTGTGCACAGCCCACTTTGGAGGCAGACTGGCAGCATTCACAACCCTCTTCCTCTCTACATTAGCTGTGACAGTGTGGGGACCTCAGTCGGTCTCCTTGCGGCTCAGTTTACCCATCCGCAAAACTGTGCTAAGACCTGCATCCTGCATGTACAGATGGAGGGCCAAGGACCGCGGGCCTGGGAACCAGGAGGTCGTCCCTCAATGCTGACTGCCGTCATGAGGACTGTTGAGGTGGGTGCCCTGGCGTCACCAAGATGCACCCCCTCATGTCCCATCAGCTGGGTCAGAGCTTCCCGCCAACAACACTTGAGCGCCAGCAACAGCTGTTTGCCTACCCCCTGGATTCCTCCCTGGGGGCTCCTGAACTACTTCATTGGGAAGAAGAAAATTAAAAACAAAAGCCCTGATGAGTACAGGATCCCCTTCACCGTGGGTCACGGTGCCAGTTCCGCTAAACTGTCACCCGCAGCACCTAGCAGGGTCCCGCCGGCCCCTCTGCGCTCCCTCTTGTCTGGAGGAACCGGGGCCTGATGAATAGCCTAACTGCGCTTAATTCCCCGCAGAATCATTAAACACAGTCTGTTTCATTAAACAGATCCAGGACAATTCACCTTGTGTAATCGTATCACATAAAACTTTGCTTTGGCCCCACTCCAGGGAGATTGTAAAATTAACCTTATGGAACCAAAAATGGGGGGGGAGTGCAAGGGCCTTTCCCCAGCTCTACATGGGAAGGGGGCACCGGCAGGGTGGGGTGGATGTGCTCAGCAGCTGGGGAAACTCTAGTATGTGAGGGTCCCCCCCCCCAAGAATAAAGCAGTGATGCTCAAACCTTCAAGTGCACGGGAAGCTTCTGGGGGTGGGGGTAGAGATCTTGTTCAAATGCAGATTCCCATTCAGGGAGCCTGAGGGCTCAGACAGGCTTTTCTAAGATGTCTTCCAGGTGGGGTCTAGGCTCTGCTGCAGAGACCCCACTCTGAGCAGCACGGGTTTAACGTGGTGGTTCTTAAATTGGAGGGTGCGTCAGAAACATCTGGAGGGATTGGGAAAACACAGCTTGCCAGGCCCCCTTCCAGAGTTTCTGACTCAGCAGGTCGGGTTGGGGCCAGAGAATCTGCATTTCTAACCAGTTTCCCAGGGCTACTGCTGCGGCTGGTGTGGGTACCCCAAAGCCAGGGTCTCAAACTCCAGTGCCCAGGGACCAGATGGGAAAGCAGAGCGCAAAGAAAGAAATGGGTTCTTTGGGGGAAGGCTCCCGGAGCCCTGAAGACCTGGGTCAGCCTGGGAGGGGATGCAGGGAGAAGGCTCCCCATCCCCAACTACTGTGGGGGACCCGAGGCCCCCGCCAGCAGATGTGCGTGCTGGAACCTCCTCTCTCCCTTGCCCTGCAGCCCCGTGGTTCCGCCTGTCCTGACTCCTCCCTAATCTGCGGTTTGAAAGCTCCCAGTTGCCCTGAGGAAGATTGGAACTGCCTGGACCTGAGACCAGGTGCCAAGCCAGTCCGAAGCTGTGAACTCATCACAAAGTCACCCCCAGGTTAAGAGACGGCCTGGGAGCAGATGCCTGGGATTGAATCCCAGTTCAGTCAAGCCTGGGGTGGGGAAGGCTTAGCCATGTGATTGCGCCCTTCCTGGGATGGTTTTCTCACCTGTGCAATGGAATGCCACCTGGATGGGCAGCCTTTCTTACCTCCTCTGGGCATTAGGTTTAGATGACCTAATGAATGCAAAGTGCTCAGAGTTCAGAGCTTCCCAAATGAGGCCCCTCCCTTATCCCTGGGGGCAGCAGGATGCCTGGGAGGCAGAGAGCTGGATTCTACTCCCTCCCCTAAGGTCCTGAATAACCTTGGCAGGTCCCCGCCTCTCTCTGGGCCTCAGTTTTCCTGTTAATCAATAGAGGATTGGGGCGCCTGGGTGGCTCAGTTGGTTAGGCGACTGCCTTCGGCTCAGGTCATGATCCTGGAGTCCCGGGATCGAGTCCCACATCGGGCTCCCTGCTCAGCGGGGAGTCTGCTTCTCCCTCTGACCCGCTTCCCTCTCATGCTCTCTCTCAAATAAATAAAATCTTAAAAAAAAAAGAGGATCAATCTGGTTTTTGGTCCTACCTGCACTCTAGAAGCAGCAGGGAGCTTTAAAAAAAAAATACAGATGCCCAGATTCCGCTCTAGCAATGGTCCTGGTATGGTTGGGGCCCTGGGATTTGCCCACACTCCTCCAGGGATGTGTGGCTGCCATGCGGCTGGGATGACGATCCTTGGGCTTGGTCCTCCAGGTCCTTTCCAGCTGGGCAGGAAAGGACTCTGCTCAGGCCAGGCCTCTGCCAAGTGCACCTGCAGACTTCTCAGCCTGGCCCTGAGGAGTGTTCATTTTCAACTGTTCCCAGAAGAGGTTTCTGATTTATTTGTGGAACAATAGAACAAATGTCACCACCTGTCTAAGCTTCCACCCTCAGAGATGGGGAGTGAAGCAAGGGGAGGGACAGAGGACCCCCTTGACTGAACTGGGAACCCAGGGCACAGTTGGCCAGACAGGTGCAAGGGTTTTAAGGAATGACATCATTAACTGCTGGATTGCTGCATTAACACCATGCTGCCAAGCGCAGGACCTCTTTGCGGAGGGGGGGGGGAAGCTTTAGAGCAGCTTTAGGAGGGGTGAAGTAGAAAGCACCCCTCAAGGCTGAGGCTGGAGCAGCCTGATTCCTGGAGGCTAAGGTGGAGGGAGCTCACATTTACGGAGCACGTCCTGGACTAAGTGATCCCACTGTTCCATCGACATACTGTCCCATCAATTATCACAGTGGTTAAGGGCTTGGGCTCAGGAGCAAAACTGTCTGGGGTCAAACCCCAGGTCCACTGCCTCCTGGAAAAGCCTCTTCACCTCCCTGAACTTAGCTTGTCCCATCTCTAAAACAGGGTTAATTATGGGTTTTAAAGACTCTCCTTACAGTGATGGAGATGTGGGTGATACTGGATATGGGATTTTGAGAGCCAGAGGAGTTAAAGATACTCAAGATGCTAGAGGTTGGGTCTGACTTCAAAGCTCTCACCATTATCGTGGGCCACCGGCTCTGGAGTGAGACCTTCAGTCACACAGCCGTCATCTACTAAGTGCCAGAGGTGAATCTCAAACCCCATCATATTAAGATTCACTGCTGGGGGGCCAACACTGTCACTTCCCAGCTGTGTGACTTGGTACAAGTCACTTAGCATCTCTGAGCCTCACAACCCGGAGTTGTTAGCAGTGGTTCTAGGGGCTCCTAAGTGACCTCATGACCATGGGCTGGATTCTTGTCTCCTGACTCCCAGGAAAGGGCTCTTGAAACCATTTCCATCCATCCCGTATCAATTACATGAGCATCTTCGTCTCCATAATGAGTCACGTTTACTGTTTTTAAGGGGTTAAATTCTTAGAGCCCCGCCATTATTACCCCCATTTTATAGAAGGGACAAGCCTAAGTTCAGGGAGGTAGTGATGGAGCTAGGGTTTGAACCCAGGGAGTCTTGCTCTTGGGCCCAGGCCCTTGACAGCTGGGCTATGACATCACCCGTCTCCCAGCAGGTGCTGCTCAGGCGGTGGTGGGCCATGGGGAGCCCTTCTGGGTCCCTCGCAGCAGACAGCACTGGCCGCACCCCCCCCCACCCCAGCTGTACCTTTGCCCTTCCAGTGGGCATGCGCAGCAAAGCCGATGTGACCGCCGTACTTGCGGTTGAACTCCGCCATGAGCGCCTTGTAGGGGTTACGGATGAGCAGGATGGCGGCATCGAAGGCCTCGATCTCCTTCTGGCCGCTCTCGTGCGTCTTGATGCAGATGGTCCTGCCGCTGCGCCAGTGGTCCCGCTCGCCTTTGAACCCTGCCACCGTCAAGGAGGGGGGCAGGGTAGTGAGCCCAGGGAGGTGAGTCCCGCCCAGTCCCCCAGGCCACCTCAGGAATCCTCCCGTCTTCACTCGTTTCCTTCCATATTTACTGAGCACCTACTCTGTGCCGGGCACTGTGCTGACGTTTGGGAATAAAATCTGCAAAAATATTCATGGGTCTTGCTGTCTTTGGGAGCCAGATAATGCAGATCATGACATCCACGAACACAGTGAGCCAGCAAGCTGCAGAGGCGGCAGCGATTTAATGCCCAGATGCCCCAAGAAGCACCTGACAGGGACACACTGGGGGAGTCCTCTTTGGGTGGCATCTCCATCCCCGGGGAATGGCCGTATGACTCACTCTGGCCAGTGGAAGGAGGACAGAAGTACGTCTCTATCGCAGTCCCAAGGTGCATCACAGGTTTGTTCCTGTGTGCTTCTGCCATCAGTGTGAGGAGGCGCTAGAAGGCTGCTGCTCCCAGGTGGTGAGAGACTCACGGAACAGACATGGGCACAACCTGCAGGCGGGTGCTGAGCAGCCCTAACAGCCTAGCCCAGATCACTGACCTAGTGAGGCGGCATCCAGAAAGGTTTCCTGCAGGGAGAGTGGCTTAAGCTGACATGTGAAGGAGAAGGAGGAATTTACTAGCCCAAGAGAGGATGGGAAAGGTGCTGGGAACGGGCACATGCGAAGGTCCTGGGGTGGGTCAGAAGAAATGTCTCACTTCATGACTTCTGAGAGCAGAAAAGAGGGGAGTGTGAAGCCGGATGGGATTGTAGTGGTTGCGATGGAGAGCTCAGTACTAAGACCACAAAGATCAGACAGCCCTGAAAAAGGATTTAAGCAAAAGAAGGCGGGACATGATCAGATTTTCCTTTCAAAAGCTGAGGAACTGAGAAAAGTTGTGGGCTGTTGGAGAATGTTTCTCTGGCGCCAACTGTGTGCTGGACGCTGGTCTGAGCCTTTTATTAGTTAGGCAACTCCATGCTCTCAATGATTCTAGGAGAGATTTTATAGATAAGGAAACTGAGGCACAGGGAGATCAAAGAATTTGCCCAAGCTCTAGAGCGAGCAGGAGGCAGAGCTGAGATTCAAACCCAAGCCATCCAGGCACCTGAGACGTAGTTCTTGGGCCTCCTGCTCTCCCGGGAGCTAAGGCACTTGGATGGCATCTTGAAAGCCAAGTAGAAATGTTCTCAGACGAGGCCTTCAAGATAACGGCTGTGTTTCCAACTCCGTGTTGTTTCTTTGGGCCTCTGTTTCCTCATCTATAAAACAGAACCATGCCGCTTCTCTCTCACAGAGCTGTTCGAGAAAATCAATGAGGCACAGAGGACGACTTCAATCAATGGCAGCTCAATGAGAACAAGTCTTGGGGGGCCATGATGGGCCGAGAAGCCACCCTACTCCCCTTTTCTCCCCTTGCCCCACATACAAAGGTTTCTGAGGCTTTTAAGGTGGATTCAAATGAGGCCAGCATGGTACCTACTCCTGTTCCTGGAGATCGGGTTTCAGGAAAGGTACATTCCCCCCCCCCCCCCCCCCCCCCCCCGCCGGGGTCACAAGGAATGGAATGTCATTTCCTGAGCCAGAGTCCATCCTGGGACTTGCCAAGTGAGGCTGCAGGAAGTACACTGGCCCCTGCCCACAAGGAAATAATCACCCAAAGCCTTTGAGGCCCATGGACCAATTGTCATGGGACAGTGAGGAGTGGCGTCTGGGAGCCTGAGAACTGAGCCTGGGACACAGATGTTGACCCACAAGGTGGCACTGGAGCCGATTTCAAGGTACATAGTCATGCATGCCATCGGTAAAGAGCCTCATGACGCAGACAAGGACCTTCCCATCTAGAATTATGTTTTATCTTTGCCAAAATGTATTTCAGCACGAGCACAGCAAGAGAAAAACATGCGTGGGGATTACACAAGAACACATACAAGTTTTCAGAGAAGACATAAATAGAAACCTGGCAGAGTGGTCGCACTAGTTTAAATCAGCTCTCCTGCTTTGTGAGACCTAGATCCCATTTCTCTCTGTTACATGATGGAGTCAACCTAGCACCACGTTTACCAAGATACAAAGACTATGTACGTCGGAAAAGACCTGCTCTAGATTCCAGATGTGGTTCGCCTAAGAAGTTAGTCTGTAAGGTGCACTGGAAAAGCTGGGAGGTGGAGACAAATCCATTTAGCACAATGCCTCCCAGAGAGAGGATTTCCGTGTCTGGGAAGGAGCCTTTAAGAAGCCGCGTGGGATCCGCTTGCCTGAGAAACTAGGGTTGCTCCGTGGTCCTCCAGGGAGGGTCCTCTAGGTGATTACGGAGCAATGAGGGATGCAAGCCGGGGGCCAGAGCGGAATTGCTGAACTCCACCACCAGGAGGCCCCCTCTCCGCTCTCCCTGATGCAGGACCCAGCTCCTCCATTGCCTCAGTGTGGTATATTTCAATCCCATTCCTTTGAGGGTTCCCCACAAGAGCAGCTCATCCGGGGCACCCACGGGACCTCAGAGGGATTGAGGAGCCAGGCAATGGTCCGAGGCTTTGGAGAAATAAACTTGGGGGTTTAGGGCCACAGAGAGAATAAGCTATGTGTTCTCCTTTCCCCCTTCCCAGCCCCCCCGCCCCCACTATGACAGTTGCCTGTGCATTTTGCCGTTAAGGAAGCCGTCGTGGAGAAGGGCAGGAAAGGCCCCCCACCCTGGCTCTGCACATGGATACCCGGGAGGCTGCTGGTCCTCCAGGGATTATCGGCTCTATTTTGAGGCAGTCCTCAGGAATCCAAGGGCCTGCCTCATGGATACCCTGCGGCATCTGTGGGCCCCCAGGAGCAGAGAAGGGCCCTGCCAACTCTGGGCAGTCATCCCAGCCCCTCCTGCCTCTGCATTCTTTCAGGCCACAGAGCTGGAGCCTACACTCGGGGGCAGTGGGATCCCTGAGATGGGGAGGGGGACAGAGAGGGGAGAGGAGGCCTAGGGAGAGGGAGGAGGAAGGGGAGAAGCAGACACAGAAACAAAAGAAGAAAAAGATCAGAGAGACACAAGGAAGGAAAAAGAGGGAGACAGAGCAAGACCAAGAAAGAGAGACGGACAGAGGGACACAGACACCAAGAAAATCATGTTTTGCGGATGACCAGCCTCTCTGGGTAATGGGAAGAGGAGGCAGAACTCAAGTGGTACGACACCTGGATTCCAGGAGGGGAGAATCCATCTACCCACCCACCCACCCACTCATGCTCTCCCTCCATCCCTCCTTCACTCAGCAGTCCCTAAGGGGGGCAGGCTGTTGCCAGGATGAGAGAAGAGAGGGATGCAGAGAAAAGTGCCAAGCAGCCCATCAGACCTAGGAGGGCTCGGGGGGTCACCCACCCAATGCAAGCTTGTTACAGAGGATGAAATCGAGGTTTCAAGCCAGGGTGGGGGTTATCGAGCTAGTTAGTGGCAGGGACGAGGGAGGAAACTCAAAAATCCTCCAATCAGCAGGAGTCCCTGGATCATCAGCTCATTCTACAGAAACCAGCCCCTCCGGGCCCATCACCAAGGCCCCTCACTTCCAATCAATGGGCTCCTAATGTCCTTCCCACTGTCCCCTTGTCCCCCACTGCTGTCCCTGCAGCTGAACATCCTATCCAAGCTCTGTGGCCAGAGGGGTATTTCACACATGCCCATCTCAGCACACCACTCCTCGGCCTGAAATCCCTCCATACCCCACTCCCTGCCGGGCCTGTGACCCCAGGAGAGTGTGCATTCAGGGCCCTTGCCTACCCAGTCCTGGCTGCCCCTCCTGCGTCACGCTCCCAGCCCTCACCTCTCCCACCGTCCAATGCCACCAAACTGGGACATTGACCGATCCCACTGGTTCCTCCTGCTGCTGCCTCCGTCTCTGCCTACCCCCATGGCCTGTGCCTGGGACTCCCTCCGCTCCTCTTGGGGGAGTCCTGTCCACTTTTGCACACCCCCACCCAAGCCTGAATCACAAAATATATAAAGCACCCACCCCAGAGCTGGGCCCATTGCAGACATTCAATAAACACCCGCAATGCTTAGTATTATTAATAGGTACATGACGTATTCATAATAATAAGGACCACGATGAAGGAGGGCCCTGGGTACAAGGAAGATAAGACAGGAGGACACGTGGGTCTGCCAGAGATACTGCAGAGGGGGTGTGACCTGCGGCTTGGGGAGCAGGTTTCCAGGCAGAAGAGCTAGGACGGGGTGGGGGCGGGGACTGACGTCCCAGGGCGAGGAAAGCCGCCTGCACACGGCTAGCATGCTTTCAAACTACGAAGACCTCCTCCTACCTGGAGTCCGATGCGCTAAAGGGGCAGCAGATCGGCCAGCCAGTGGGGGCAAATCCTGCCCCCATGCTCCACCCCCCAGGGTTTGAGGGCTTCCTTAAGCTAAGTATCTCTCAGCTGCAAAGGTGATGTGGGGAGGGACTTGGGGTTAGCAGGATGGACTGAAGCTATTTTAACACCATAGCTTCACACACATTGTCTTATATTTTTTTTTCAAAACCACTGTGCATTCACTATTGACATCCCCATATTATAAATGGGGAAACTGAACCTCAGAGAAGTAAAGAAATCTTGCCCAAGGTCCCATACCTGATAAGTGACAGAGTTCAGTCTGAAGATTCAAGCCCCTGACTCCCTCTTAAGATTGTTTCCCTTTGTCTGAAGTTAGGAGGTTGAGTTAGATCAGAGGTGCTAATATCTGGCACATAGCCCACCATTCCCCCTTCTACTCCCTCAACAGGCATCACTACTAGATTAAGGCACTTTGTTTCTCAAAGACAAGAGAACCTCAGAACCCTTCTTAACACATCAACCTAAAACAGGGGTTCACTGGAATGGACACATGAGATGAAACCACTTTGCATCCCTGGATTGATGATTCTGAAGGACGCATATATTTGTAACATTGTAGAGTTCCATGAACAGGGTTCCTGCCTCAGCCACAGGAAGGTTAGGATGTGGGCCAGCCATGGGATGCTTCCTGAGTCTGCTTCTCCCTGCCACTCTCCGGGACAAGCCAGAGAGATTCCAGACCCTGCCTGGGTTCCTCCCAGCAACCCCCATCAAGGCAGCACGACGTAGTGTTTAAAAGCACAGAGACTGCTGACAGCCAAGCCTGGGTTCAAATCCTGGTATAAGAGTGACAAACCCTCAGCTTGGAGCCTCGAACATAGTACGTGCTCAATAAATGACTGCTTAAGCCCAAACCAAAAATTCATCAGCATACAAAAAGTCGGGATTCTAAGGCAGACCCTACCCCTTGCTAACTCCATCCTTCAACCTGCCCCTTTCCATCCTTCTTGACCTTCCTCCCTCCTGCTTCTCACCCTCAAGACGGATGCCCCCCTGGCTCTCCCTGAGCTGGGATTCAGGGATGTCAACACCAGCTGCGCCTGGCCAGTGCCTGGCCCCCAGACCGTACTAGTCACAGCCTACATCGACAGCACACTTACTCTGGGCTAAGCGTATTACACGTAGCAACTCATTACCTTTCACAATGACCTCACCAGGTACATACTGTGATCTCTGATTTGCGCATGATGACGCAAGATCAGAGAGGCGCAGAAACTTGCTCAAAGTCACACAGCCAGGAAGGGGGTCTTCATCTGGTTTGCAGACACAAACACCCACAGCCACAGGCTGCCCCACATATAGACAAAACCTCTCACAAACAGAGCTGCTTCCCTGATACTCCCCTCTGCCAGACCTGGGAGAGGGCCTCACATCCAATGGGCATTACACGCACGGTTTTCAGTTCCCCAGTAAGAACCCCCAGGGCCTTCTTGCCTGGGTGATGGGAACTGTAAGAATGCGGGCTTTGAAACTGGGACACCCTAGGGTAGAATCCCTCACCAGCCCGTTGAAAACAATCTGTGTGACTTGGAGTAAGTTACCTCTTCTCTCCAAGTCTCGGTTTTTGCATCTGGGAAATGGTACCACATCCTGTGTCCCAGGGTTACTCTGCAGAGCTAACTAAAACTGGAGCACCTAGCACAGCTCTCGGCACCCAGGAGGTGGGCCAAGGAAGTCTGTCCGTGGCCATCTGAACCTACACGAAGCTCCCAGCACCCAGTTGGCACTGCATAAATGCCTGCTGGGAGACCACACTTAGGATGTGCGTCTGGAGCACGGCAGTGCTCGGTAAACATCCGCGAGCAGAATGAAAATAAAACACCCGCACGACAGATACCTCTGGCTTCCGGGTAGATAAGACACCTGATGCGTAGTAGGTGCTCAGTAAATGTCCCCCCAAATGCACCTAGTTTTGTCCCTCTGTATACAGCACAGAGTTGCTGGTCACTCAACGTCTGCGGGGAGGGACCTGCCTAGAGGAGGCGCTCAAGACATGTTTGTGGCGCCCCAACCAGACAGAGAAGGTGGCACGCACATAGTAGGTGCTTGATCCATGCCCGTTACTGAACAGATGCGGCTCAGGCGACGTTTGTGGGGTGTACGCGGAGCACCCAGTGGGTCTTGGCAACCACGCCCGGGCGAGCTGAGCGGCACACAGTAGGTACTCGAGAAGGGTCTTCCCCTGCCCTCCCGGTGGGTCCTCTCCGCTCCCCACTGGCCTCCTCACCTTTGTTGTAGAGAGAACCGTCAAAGTAGTAGCTGCCCGTGTAGAAGCCGGTGGCCAGCTCGATGAGGTGGCGAGCCCACGTGTTGCCGGCGCCGGGGAAGCTGGCCAGAGCGATGAGCTGCTTGGACTTGGCTGGGAGGAACCTTCTGTCCATGCAGCGGTTGTCTGCAAAAGGCAGGACACAGTCAGGGGCGGGGGCGGACGGAGCCGGACCAGGAAGGACCAGGTGTGAGTCTCGCCCCCCGCCCCTGCCCAGCCAGGCGGCCCAGGGTGACTTCCTCATGGTTAAAAGGAGGAAAACGGTTCCTCGTCACAGGGTTGACATGAGGGCTGGGAGCGGGGAACAGCCCTTCTCCCCCGGGAGCGGGAGGGAAGGAAGAGCGTGTAGAGGGCAGGCAGTCTGGTGGGCTCAGGGGCAGGGGAACCGTGGCAGGGGAGAGGACAGGTCTGCTGTCCCTTTGTGGTAAGGATCAAGGTCGTTGGCCCAGAGTGAGGAAGCAGGGCTGGAACCCCCAATCTAGGATTCTCTCCTCTCCCTCTTCCGCTGCAGAGTCCCCTATGCTGGGCCTTCCCTCAGGTTCTCTTGCATCTTGAGGGGTCCTCACGCCTGGGTCCCCATCTCCTCCCTGACCCCCCCTTCTCTCTCACCCAGCTGGCTCCATCACATCTGCACTCACACATGAAAAAAATCACGCCATCATTACAAAAATCTCTTTCGAGGAACCACTCTCTGTCCTCACCCCATTCCCATCCCACCTCCGACTGAGCTGTCCACACTCGCCATTCTACCTTCTCCTCCTCCTTGCTCCCAGGGGCGCCACTCTGGGCTCTGCCCCGCTCACGCACAGAGCCAGTCCCGCTGGAGGCACTGGTCAGCGCTCCTTGCGGCCTCTGACACCACCCCCCATCCTGCCCTTCGCAGGGTGGTCTTTCCTGTCCTGCAGGACCCGCCATTACCGAGATCTTACTGTGAGCCACACTCATGTCTGGTGACAGCCCATCAAGGGAAACGTCTGAGTTCCTAAATTGAAATTCCAATTCTGCCACCTATCTGCCGGGTGCCCTGGGAAAAATGATGGGTCTGAGCCTCAGTTTCCTCGCCTATAAAATGGGACCACTGACAACAGTGGTGCCCTCGGGAGGGTTGCGGGAGGGAGGGTGTGTTAACACGGGGCTCACACACTAGGAGTGCCGATCGACCACACCTCCTCATGCTATGACTTCCAGCCAGGGGGCCCCAGCTCCCCCCACCGCCCCCCAGCCAGGTGCAATCTGTTCAGGGCAGACTTTGGGAAAAATAAATCCGGTCTTTGTCTCTGTTGAAGCCAAGGAGGTGTCTGGGAATGGTTTTCCTGGAAACACACTGCAGAAAAAGCCTCAGTATGTAACTTTCTTGTCTTATGTTTTGATAGGGGTACGGATTATCCAGTTGTCTTTGCATAATACCCTTAAAAATCTGTGCATTCCACGCTATGTAAATGTTACTTAAAAAAATCATTAGCGGGGTTCCTGGGTGGCTCAGTCGGTTAAGCATCTGCCTTCGGCTCAGGTCATGATTCCAGGGTCCTGGGATCGAGACCCACGTCCCCCCACCCCCACCCCGCTCAGTGGGGAGCCTGCTTTTCCCTCTCCCTCTGCCTGCCGCTCACTCCCCGGCTTGTGCGTGTGCTCGCACTCTGTCAAATAAATAAAATCTTTAAGAAAAAAAATCAAATAGCAAAATTCAAAAAATTTTTTAAAAAATCAAAAATAGCAAATATTGAATTATAATTAAGGATATGTACACTGACATGTAAAATGGCTGCAACTTACAGCTGACCCTCAAACAACCTGGGTTTGAACTGGGCAAGATTTTTTATAAATCTAGTACCCTACCATAAATGTGTTTTCCTTAAGATTTTCTTAATAACATTTTTCTTTTCTCCAGCTTACTTATTGGGATACAGTGTATAACATAGGTAACATACAAAATGGAGGTTAACTGACCATTGGGGTTACCAGTATGGCTTCTGATCAACAGCAGGCTGTTGGGAGTTAAATTTCTGGGGAGTCCAAAGTTAGATGTGGGGATACCTGGCTGGCTCAGTTGGAAGAGCATGCAACTCTTGATCTCCAGCTTGTGAGTTTGAGCCTCACGCTGAGCATAGAGATTACTTAAAAATAAATAAAATTTTTTTAAAAAGTGTGGATTTTTCAACTGCGCTGGGAGGGTCATCATCACCCCTAACGCCCGTGTCCTTCAAGGGTCAACGGTGCTTTGAAATGCATGAAAAAAAATAAGAAGGATCTAGGGATGGTGAAATGGAGAGATGGATGATCAAGTCAATATAACAAAATGTTGGCAAACGTAAAGTCTACGGGATGCATTATGGTCATTCACGGTGTGATTCTAGTTTTTTCCTGGAGGTTTGACATTTTTTTCCCCATCACAAAATGTTGGGAGGGAGAAAAAAAAAAACAACAAACCTGGCCCCCTCAATTTCTCCAGAAAACAGCATTCTCGATTCAAATGCTGCCTGGGAGGCCAAGACCCACTCCAAGGTAAAGGCTGTTGTTTTCAGCCCTAAAAAAGAAAAGTTTATTTATTTCAGCCCTAAAAAAAAAAGCTCCGTAAATCAAAGCAGGACCGTGTGGGGCTTTGGAATCAGACAGAGCTGGGTCTTACTCCAAGGCTCTTCCCTCTCGGAGACCGTTTCCTCCTGGAAAATGGGGCTAATCACCTTACAGGAGGAAACGGACAGTACATGGGAAGCATTTTCAAAGTGTACTGAGAGGGTGTGGTTCAGAGCACAGCCCAGGATCCAGACCCCACCTGGGTCTGAAGCCCAGCTCTGCCCCGTCCTAGCTGTGCCACTCGGGCCCAGCTACCCAACTTCTCTGTGCCAAGTTGTAAGATCATCATTTGGGAGCTTTTGTAAATGTTAGAACATTTGTGTTTAGAATTTTTGAACATTTGTAAAATAGGAATAATAGCGGCACCTAGGTCATTGTGAGGACTGAATGAATTAATTCAGTCTCAAGGGCTTAGACGGCACCTGGCACACAGTAGGTGTTCGAGAATTCCATTCTCGGCAGGAATGTCAGGGTTTAGCACGCAGCAAATGCAGGATAAATGGCAGCCGTGATGGACCAGGCTCTTGGCAACCTAATAAACCACGGGCCTCTCAAACCTCGCCGGTGTGAGGGACTGCAAGCCTGACGTGGAAAAACTGAAGAACAGTTTTGGCCTGGGGACGTGGCCCAGGGAACGAGCAAAACCATCAATTAGGGGCTCTTTATCTGCTTTTGAAAAGGCTCCAATGTCTGTTCCATCCACATCAAAGCCATTCATGGTCACGGAATAATTAATCTGTGCATGACTCTCCCTTAGGCTAGGGCAACACGGTTCTGCACAGAGTAACCAACACTTCCTAAAAGCTAACAAATATTCATCCCTCCTCGCTGGACTATAAACAAAGCCAAGAGCCGCACTTACTAGATTCCTGCTCACTGGGCTCTTAGCAGGACTTTAAGTGCCACAGAAGGAGCCACAGGCGGCTACCACTGGTACCCCCATCAGACCAAATAGGGGACGAGCTCTTGATGGGGCTGCCACTAGCTCTTTTGACACTTTTGTACCCATCAGAAAAAGGCACCCTCCCCTTCCTCTGGGCAGAGGCACTGCTATCCAGAGTGCGGAGCATGGGCTGGCTTTCGGGCACCACTTTTCCTACAGGTTTTGACTGTGCAGTGCCCAACCTGCCCAACTGTACACGGAGGCCCGGTTCCTGGGAGATGAAGAGGAGGTCTAGCCCAATCGTGTTTTATTGCGTCTCCAGGCTTCAGGGGGTAGGGATGATGTTTCCCTGACTGTAGGCTTATTGTGGGCTTTACATCGTTCAGTGAGCTGAGGTGGGGCACAAGATGAGCGCATAGTAGGTGGTCCACATATTCAGATACTGGGGTAACCCTTCAGGGGTTTCCTTCGGATGGAGTGTCCCAGCAAAGCACCTCTCTAAGCGCCACCCACCCTTCATGATGCCTCGGTCAGAGGAAATGGCTTTCAGCTAGAAATTTTATAAGCAGCGTGACCTCAGGCAAGGCCCTTAACCGTTCCGTGTCCGTTTCCCCGCCTGTAAAGCGGCTGTGATAATTATTCCCACCTCCCAGGAGAGCCGAGGGGCTTCAGTGAGAAAGTGTGAACTAAGAACTCAACACGGACTCCAGCACCAAGAACGTCCTGGAAAGACCCTCAGCGCTGCCATCACCATGGGCCGGCAGCCCCAAGAGACGGGAGAGGAGCCAAGCAGGAAGCAGAGTTCCCACCAGCAAAGGGAGGAGGACAGAAGATGGAGAAAGAGAAGATTTTTATAAATAAATCGACAGAACCCTAGAATTGAAAGGGCTCCTGGAGGTCAACAATCTACCGCTGCATTTTGCAGATGGGGAAACTGAGGCTCAGAAAGGGGAAGAGACTTGCCCGGGATCCTGCTGCAGCTCTGGGTTGGTCACCCGGGTCCCCCACTCCCAGCCCAGCTGACATCACACTCAATCTCACCCCCTTCACGACGGGAGAAGAGCCACCAAGGTGGGGGCTCAGTAGGAGGGACAGAGATGAGGGTCTCCGGAACCCAACACCCCTTGCCTGGGGCCCTTGCCTCTGTTGTTGTCCCTGAGCCAGGCCAAGTTCCCCAGCCCTGCCCTTGCCCCCTGCCCTGCTCAGCCCGAGCGGGATGGGATGGGTTGGGCTGGCCGGGGCCCCTCTGGGAAGGAAGCCACTGGAGAGCCTCCCGGGGAGGGTTCCGCTGGGGGAGCCCTGGCTTACCTTGGACCTGTGTCTGGTACACGATGAAGTAACGGGGAGTCCCGCAGCTCTCAAACTCCTCCGCGCTGCACTTCTGGGCACAGAGCTGCTCGTCCTCCCTCTCATGGAGGGGGAACCGCGTGGTGGGGAACCCGCAGTGGCAGGCGGTGCCCGCGAGGGCGGCCAGTGGGTACTCCTGCAGGGGAGACGGGAAGGAAGAATGTCCCGAAATCCCTGGACTGCCCCGACGCCCCATGCAGAGGAGGGCTGGTGTTCCAAACATCCCTTCTCCACTGCTCTCCCCAGCCTGAGGGTCCCCCAACTTCACTTTGACGGGTCTGCCCCATTTGCGCACCTCCCATGCTATCGTTTCTTTCCAGCTTAATTAAGGTATAATTGACAAATGAAACCGGCAACCGGCACTTCGGTACATTTTCACGCTCTAGACTCTAGACGCAAATACTACAGAAACAAAACAATGTAATTACTTTCTAAGGAGGCCCTGCCAAGACGCTGAGCCCCGGTGGGCTCTGCTCTTCCTGCAAAGGGGAGATTAGTGGAGGGTTGAGAGGTGTTAAAGACACCTGAGCACGGAGACGGAGCTTTCTCCTGGAGGGCTGGAAAGGAGACTGAAAAGAAACTGCTTTTCTCACCGTCCTGCGCCCTGCCACCGGAAATCCCCGGGTCTCAGATGACACGAAGCCCACGCTTTGGGAAAAGCTGTCTGAGCCGGTTCTTTTAAGCCAAAGAGGATATGGATCCCCACGTTAGCTACGCTCTTCGCTCTTCGTGGGCACAGCTGCTCCTATCTGCTTTATTCTGCGGAGCAGCTAAGCCGGAGCAAGGTGGGACTCAGGTTCGGAAGGCAGGGGGCTGTCCTTTGTCTGCTTCGCCTCTACTCCAGACCCGAAGCCCTGAATCCTCCCTGATAGGAATAAGCTAGTAATACACCAAGATCACACCTCGGTGGCCAATCCAGCAAATTTTGCACAATAGGTTTGGTTTCTTCCTAACACATATTAAAAAGGAACTTTACCTCCTAGCTGAAGAGCAGAGACAGAGAAATGCTGATACGCAGATGGGTCTGCGTGGGCCATGACTGATGGCATTTCTAACAGGTGATACGTATCGAGCCTCCGCTGATAGCCTAAATCTGCTACCCTCCACCCCGTGGCCCAGGCAGCTCTATACCCCCGCCCACGTAATCCCCTCAATTTTTCTCCTATGACCCCTAAGGAGATCAGAAGAAACTGGAAGAGGGAGCTCTGCAGAGGGGCCTTCCTGTCCACCCACACACCCTCGCTTCCCTCCAGTCCTATGTACAGTCTGACCCTTTGTTACACTGCTTTGCCCGGGACTTCATTGTCTCACGTGTTTGCGTCCCACCTGCAGCTGATCTGCCGGCTCCAGGGTCATCAAGGACTGAGAAATGTCCACGGAGGGGATGCCGTGGGGGAGGGGCATTCCCGCCAGGGAGAGAAAGCTTGATCAAAAGCTAGTCAAACCTCCTCGACTTAAGAACTTCCTCCCTGACCTTCCAGGATGCCTCTTAGGAGCAGAGTAAGTGCTCAGGAAATGCTTGGTGACTTGAAGTTGCCTGGCTGCCCTTGAACGGCTCTGGCAGCCTCTCCAGGGTAGCTCCGAAATTCAGTGGGCAGGCCCAGGTGTCAGCTCTACTTGCTTGTGCTATGAGCTCGGGCAAGTGACTTCACCTGTTTGGGCATTGGTTTTGTCATCTGTGACATAGGGCGGAAAATCCTCAACTCCAAGCCTTCAGGTGAGAGGTAAACTGAGACCCGTGGTGCAGAAGACTGCATGGAGAACGTGCTCAGTAAGCAACAGCCTCTCAGCAATCCCGCGAGGTGCTTCGTGCATCGGGAGACTCGATGAGGGTTGAGCCAAGCAGGGCAACTCAGAGCAGGTGGGGCATTTGGGAGTTGGGGGGCAGGCTTGAGCATCCGGCAGGGGCCACAAGGCAGGCCCCCAGCAAGTGCCAGCATCTTTGAGGACAGACTCTACATCTGGTTGACCCTGCATCCCCAGCACTAAGCATGGGGGCCTGGCACAAAGTAGTTTCTCGGTAAATATTAGCCAAGCAAATGAATGAAATGGGCAACCACGTTTTTGTGGTGGGGAAGGGGTTGTTCTTTGGCCCCTCATGTAATGAGCTCATCTTGAAAGAAGGCTAGAGCTCCTCGGACATCACTGAGTGCCAACGATATGCCTAGCCCTGCTCTGGGTATTGGGAGGGCACCAATGTTCAAGGCACAGCCCCTACTCTTGTGGAGTTCACTGTCTGGTCAGGGAGGAAGGATCTCAGGCTGAGAAAGGACCCACAGGCCATCTAGTCCAACTTCAATCCAACGCCCGAAGTTCTGGATGCCACACCTGCCCTGACTCTACTTGCATGCCTCCAGTGATGGGGAGCTCACTCTGTCCCAAAGTGGGGTTACCCTTGCCTTTCCCTGACAACCTTCTACTCACGCTTGTGCGCCCAAGTTAGAACGTTACCCTCATTCCTGAGCATTCCTGACAATTAGAACAAACCCACCTCCTCAGAGAGAAAGAAATCGACCCCAAGTAACTTCTACCCCTTAGATCCACATGAAACCGTCGTGTCCCTCTCCTGTGTCACAGATCACAGAGATGACCCCCTCGTCCTGGCTGGGCTGCTGCCAAGCCCCCCCCTTCCTGCAGCTGTTCCACACCGCCCCTCCCCGGAGTTCTGTGAGCAGGACCCCGGGCTCACCTTCTCGGTGCAGAGGTCCACGCACTTGTCCACAGACATGTTCGGCATAGCGGCCGTCACAGGCAAGGCCAGGGAGAGGTTGTCGGGCCTGCGGAAGCAGCCTCGGAAGACCGCGCTCCCATCTGGAGAGCCGGAGGGAAAAGCAGGAGTCAGATCTCAGCTGGAGAACCACCTTCTGAAGAAAGCACTTTTATTTATTTGTCTTTTTTAACAATTTTATTTATTTATTTATTTGAGAGAGAGCGTGTGCACACCAGCTGGGGGGAGGGGCAGAGGCAGAGGGAGAAGCAGACTCCCTGCCGAGCAGGGAACCCGATGCAGGACTCGATCCCAGGACCCTGGGATCATGACCTGAGCTGAAGGCAGACACTTAGCCACTGAGCCACCCAGGTGCCCCAGAAAGAGCTTTTAAATGAAAGCCCAGAGAAGGCAAGAGTCTTGCCCAAGGTCACACAGTGAACCAAAGTGGAGACTAATCAACTGAAACATTCCAAGTGCTCTCCTCAGCCCTGGCATCTTTGTCGACAGCCCAGGTCACTGAGATGTTCTTGCAGGGCCACATCATTCCCTTTTCTTTGCCAGCCTCCCTGGGCCTTGCCTCCTCATGGTCAACAATGGTTACTCCCCATTCAGGGACGTGACAGATGTCATGGAGGATTTTCACAATCGCATCAGGAGATGGCCGTTTGAGGATCGAGGGAAGCGAGGTACTCAGGGCTGTCCTGTCCCTCCTCACAGCACCGGGGTGCCCTCTCCCTCCCACCCTCCTGGGCGTTAGGGGAAAAATCCTGGGCCTCAGGAGTCTCCACCCACCAGTGCTGAGCACCTCCAGGCTACAAGGGACTGATCTGCGGGAAGGACTGCCTTGAAGATAACCAAATCGGGGAAACACCCCAGGCACACACAACAGGAAATCTGTGGAGGCCACAGCAGTCACCCCAAAACCCTACTCAGAGATACTGCCTTGGGTCAGGTTTCCTAGAAGCAGCACCTGAGACGGTGTTTTATTGAGGTGCACTCTCAGGAGGGGACAGGGGGCAAGCAGGACAGGGCTGGCAGGAGCTAAGCAAGCGTGTGACCTCGGCTGGGTCTCACCCCGAGCATGGGGGATGAGCTCTACCACAGTCGGTCCCGCTGTAAGGAATGGGGTCCGGGCTCGGCCCTGTGTTCCCCCCTCCCCATAGCTCGTAGGTTCTCTGCTGTCCTAGAGAGCCTGCTCCTCTTGGGCCAATGGTCATTTTCACCCAAGGGGGCAGGTGTGAACCACTGGCCACCCAGAGTCACCGCCGGTAAGGGGGGTTTGGGTGGCCCCCCTGTGGCGCCCGCCGCGGGTGCACACAATTATGAATAAGGATATAACGCAGTGGCATTTAGTTAAAGCAACACGTGAAAGACGGGGCACAGCCTAGGTGTCCAACAAGAAGTGCTGGACAGGTAAAGTACGGAATGACAAGACAACGGGGTTCTGCACCCCCATCAATAATAAATGGCATTCAGGGGTACTTTAGAGAGAAGAAGATGTGTTCAAGAGATTAAATATAAACTGAAACTATGAAACTCCACATATTATATCAATTTTATATAACAATTCTCTCTCAATATTAATCTCTAGCAGGACCTATGCTAACATGTTGATAACCAGGCTCATCTCTGAAGAGCAAGCATGATGGTTGTTTTCGTTGTTGTTGTTTTTTAAAGATTTATTTGAGAGAGAGAAAGCAGTGGGGAGGGGCAGAGGGAGAGGGAGAAGCAAACTCCCTGCTGAGCAGGGAGCTGGACACAGACAAAGGGCTCGATCCCAGGACCCGGAGATCATGACCGGAGCCGAAGGCAGACACTTAACTGATTGAGCCACCCAGGTGCCCCATGATGGCTGTTTTAGGTCAACATGGCTAGGCTACAGCGCCCTGTTGTTTGATCAAACGTACGTCTAGGTGTGGCTGTGAAGGTATTTTGTAGCTGCGACTAACATTTATACGCACTGGACTTTAGGGAGACTTATAGGGGATTACCCTTGAGCATGTGGGTGGGCCTCATCCAATCAGTGGAAGGCCTCCAGAGCAAAACCTGAGGTTTCCCAGAGAAGAAGGAATTCTGCCTCAAGGCTGCAGCATTAACTGCTATCTGAGTTCCCAGCCTGCTGGTCTGCCCTACAAATTTTAGGCTTGCCAGCTTCCACAACTGCATAAGCCAATTCCTTAAATAAATCTAACATACATACAAATATATAAAACTCCTACAGATTCTGTTTCTCTGGAGAACACTAATAGACTAGCATTATAGGCAATTTTTATTTCCATCTTTTTAAAACCTTTTCTAGCTTTTTCTACAGTGAATATGTATTTTTAATGTAATAAAGACAAATTAAAAAAATTTTTAGGGGCGCCTGGGGGACTCAGTCAGTTGAGTGTCTGCCTTCGGCTCGGGTCATCATCCCGGGGTCCTGGGATCGAGCCCCGCATCGGATCCCTGCTCAGCGGGGAGCCTGCTTCTCCCTCCCCCGCTCCCCCCTGCTTATGCTTGCTCGTGCTCGCGCTCTCTCTCTCTCTCCCCCTCTGTCAAATAAATAAATCTTTAAAAAAATTTTTTTTAGGGGCACCTGGGCAGCTAAGTCAGTTGAGCGTCAGACTCTTGATTTCAGCTCAGGTCATGATCTCAGGGTCGTGAGATCGAGCCCTGCATCAGGCTCCGTGATCAGCACGGAGTCTGCTTGGGATTCTCTCTCTCCCTCTGTACCTCCCTCCCCCGCCGCCCACATGCTCTCTTGTTCTCTCTCTCTGAAATAAATAAATAAATAAATCTTTTAAAAAAACTTTTTAATGTCCCTGTCAAATTTATCAAAAGGCTCATGATGCCCATTTAAAATTAAGGTCAGCTGTCTTCAAATGTGAGTTGCATGAACCTTTCCAGAACACAGCTGTCACGGAAAACCAAGGACAGCGTTCATACAGCGCAGATCAAAACCAGGAGCACAGAAGTAGGTGTCATTTACCGAGTGCCTGCCACGTGTGATCTACTCTGCTGGGAACTTTACTGACATCATCTCATTGCCCCTTCTGGAAAACTCTGAGAGGTCTGGAGTAAACTCTGGTTGTGCAGCTGAGAGTAGCAGGGCTCAGACAGAGAGGTTACGGGACAAACCTAAGGACCCGCTGTTGGCAAGAACTTACTGCAGATCATCGCAGAAACAAGATGTCAGCCCTTGGGAAAAAGGGAAGCAAGCTGCAACAACTGTACACCTCCATCTAGGTCTGTCTCCGGGTCTGTCTAGAGCATCAAACTTCCCTTTTGGCACACCCACGTACGTTGACGTTTGCGTGCAGGGAAAAGGACATGGAATTGCTCCTAGGGCAGAAGGATGGTGGAGGAGGGGGAGGGAGGGAGTTTGCGAGTGCTCGTTTTAAATGTCAGCTGTCACGCTAGTGATTATTTCTACCACCTGGCACCCAGTAGCCCACAGTCGCTCCTGGCAGAGGCAAATCTAGCAAACTGAGAAGACATCTGGAATTTGGGTAAACGGCTATTTCCAGAGCACGCTGCAGGCTCGCACCATCCAGTCCTCTCTCCCCCGCGGTCCTCAGCCGTTGCTCCAGGCTGGTGAGGGAGCTGGCGGTGGCTGGGGGTGGTCAGGGTGCTGCAGACCCACCCCGAGGTCCTCCAGGCCTCAGTTTCCCCATGTATCAATGGCAGGGAGGTGGACAGACCACGCAGATTCTCTTCTGGACAGGGTGGCACTCCACCCTCCCTAAGTGAGGAACTGTCAGATGCCAAATGCCACTAGTGTCCCATCCCGTGGCCCAGGGTGCTCAGAGGGAAGCCCCGGAAACTCATCAGTCACCTCGAGGAAGATTCGATGATGCTCAGAGAATGTGCCATCCAAGGTGAGGCCAGGGAGGGGAGTCAGGCATTTGAGCTAAAGACTCACGGCTACGAGGTGGGACTCGCAAAGCAGGTGCGCAGACCCTCACTTAACCAGAAAACTCCTTTAGCTGGAAACCCCCTCCGGTCCCAGGGCAGAGAGACACTGCCTCGCTTCTAGGAAGAAGGAAGCTCGCTTTCTCTCTCCATGCTGGGTGCCTGGCCTCTCTTCACGGCAGCCACCCGGATAGATGCTGCGGCTCTCCCCACTTATAGTCAGGGAGCCAGAGACTCAAGGAGTCTCTCTGCCTTCCGGTGTCACCAGGCAGCTCAGTGACAGAGTGGAATGAAGCCAGGTTGCTCTGTCTTCCAAGTCCCTGCTTCTTCCAGTAAGAATGATGTGGTTATGATGATTAGGTGCTTACAGGAGTATCAGGGTTGGGCTGGTATCACCGTGGCTCCCGCATACCGGCCACATTGCTGTCTGCTGGGAACCAGGCTGAGCTGCTCCCACGTGTGGCCTTGTTGAACACTCGCATCACCATGAGTTTCCCCTGGGTGTCCCCATTTGTACGGATGCAGAAACAAGGCTCAGAGGGCTGAAACCACTTGACACAAATCAGCCAGCACAGAAGATGCAGGGCTGATTTTGGAATTGAAGTGAGACACCTGCTCTGCTCTGGATGGTATTATCAGCTGCTCTCTGGGCGCCAGCCACTGGGGAAACATCTGTCCCCTGCAAGGAAGGTCTCATTCTTCCCATTACACAGAAGGGGGAACTGAGGCTCAGAGGGGGAGAGTGACTTGCCCAAGGCCACAGGGCCGACAAGAAGTGGCTTCTGGATTCCGAACCCAGGAATGTCTGAGCTCCACGGCCTCACACTCTCCAGGCTGTCCCTCTTTAAGAAGCCACCCCCGGGCCTCGTATTAGCCTTTGCAAAACACTGTGATGCTTATTCTGCCTCTCCTGCCCTTCACACTCATTCCACAAAGTCAAGGCTGTCACTCTGGGTTATGTGGACACTGGAGTCAAATTTTAAGTACCAAAAGATAAAAAAAAAACCGCCCAGCTCTTGACCCTGAGTCTGCAAAACCATATTCAAATTGTTAACGTTCCTCTTCCCCACTGGGATTCCATTCAGGAGACTGTCTGATAGGCCCCTGGGTCATGGTTGAGGCCGGGAGGGTTGCTACGGGAAATCATTCCAGGGTTGAGGCTCATGGAGTCCCCTCCAGGACTGGGACAGGCCTGGGACACTGTAAA